ATATGAAAAAAAAATTTAGTTTATACAGAAATAGTATCTAAAATGATCTCAGTTTCCAAAGTTAAAGCAAAAGATCTAATCTAAGCACACATATATTAGGCAGGATGTAAGTTTTATTTTTTCCTTTGAACTGAGATCAATATGTGATTTTTTTTTTATTTCTTTAAAATCATTTGTTTTTTAACAATTACAGCAGATGCAAATAATGTTCTGAGAGATAATTGAAAAACAATGGCCATTGAATAAAATTTTTTGATAGTAGAAATAAAAGCTTAAAAACGTTATTTTACTAACAAAGTAGAGGAATGACATACAGTATACAGTACCAAAATATGCAACTCATAGATAACCACAAACTTCACTTTTGTTAAATATCAAATGAATTAACTTTACATGTTATGAACAATGCAAATAAACAGTAGTTAAAGCATGTGGATCAATTGTGTGTTACAGAATTTGATTATTGGGGAGATTCCTTTTAAAAACTAAATTAGTTAAGATAAAAAAATGCATATAATGACTCAAGAAAATCAGTTTTAATTCAGAATTTGATTATTGGGGCCATTTTTACCTACCTGTCATATGGGGCCATTTTTACCGGGGCCATTTTTTCCGGGGCCATTATTTCCAGGGCCATTTTTTCCGGGGCCATTTTTACCGTACACCCTTAGGTAGCCACTGTTCAAATAAAAAATTAAAAAATCAATGATTATTCTTTTAACTTTAATCTTTTTATTTTCAGAGAATTATGGAAGATATATTTACCAGATGTTACCTGGTTTCTGGCAACCGTTCATCATTGGGTAACGATCAACTTGTAGGTTATCTTGAAAAGAATGGTTTAAGTTTTGACAAGCTTATTCCTATCACTGGAAGTAAACCTTTTATTGCATTGGCTATTTTGAAAGATCAGAAAGGTACAGTAAGACAGCCTTCTACCTCTGAAAAAACTCTTAATTAATATTATAGTAATTTTTATGTTCATATGTCATATTTCAAGCTGCAGTTTTAATTACAATAATATTGCAACAATCATGAATAATTTCAAGAGGGTTTCTTTTTTAGATTTTGACAAGTTGTCAAAGAAGAAATATGAAGATTTTCACTTTGAAAAATTTCTTGTAAGATGTTATTTTTATATTGTCAATTGGAGAGTGATAGAGGACATTTGAGCCTTAATTGATTTAAAACAGGGGAAGAATAATTCCCATTTAAAGCAGAAGTATCAAAAGGACATGCTCACCATTGAAAAACATTGGGACAGGACAAGGGTGCATCCAATAAGGACACCCCTTCCCCACCATTTGATTTGGGATGGATTCTATTAAAAACAGGCAGGGACATAGTTTTCATTTAATACAAGAAAAACACAGACATGGCTCTCATTTAAAACATGGAAAACTAAGAGGGATATTTTGTATTTTAAATATTTATTTGGATTTATTAATTTTTACATTTGAAATCATGATCCTTCAAATTCCCCTTCCCTTCCTACCACTGGATCTATCACTGATATGCCTGATCTATTTAATTTGTTTAAAATTTTGGCACCTTTGAGCTTTATTTAGATCATGATTAAAAACATTGATAAATAAAATACAAAACAACTATTAAATACGATTATAATTTCAGTTAAATATCTATAGAAAATCTATTTGCTCTGAAAAATACATGTACCCCATTAAATTGCCTAGAAATAAATGGTTACCAATCTATGAGGTCTTTTTTTATACACAGACAATTGAAACTGCAAAATCAGACTTCTGCACCATTGAATTGAGTAAAGTCATTGCTGAACTTGCGAGAAGTTTGAATTTTCGAGAAATAAAACAAAAATTACAGAGAAGTTACACAAGTAGTGATGGCAGTCAGTTGGATTTAGGTGAATTGACCAGTATTATGTCTCTGATATCAGAACTAACTAAAAATGTTCAAGAATACCTCGGAGGTGTTTATAATGCTGAGTTTGCAAATAGTGAGAATTCTTCACAAATCGAAACAACAATTGATGATTTCATCTCACAAAGTGTTGTTGTCACAGGATTTCCAATAGGAACATCTGTAGACAAGATTAAGATTGCTTTGCAGAAAAGGAAAGATGGTGGTGGTGATGTGGAATGTATACATCCAGTGGGGTCACTGACAGATAGTGCTATTGCAATCTTCTCAGAACGTCATGGTAATTGTTTTCTTTTTAATAATTTTGTTTGATTTTATGCATAAATCAAATGGAATGTGGTAGGTTTTGTTGGCTGTGTATTGTATGAGTTTTCTCTGAAGTTTTAGACAATAGTTATTTTATTAAAGAAAATTTACACATTTTATATTCAAAATCAAAGACATGTTAAATAGTGCGAAAGCTAATACCTTATTCCTTTTCATCTACAACATTCATATTGATAAATGATAAGCTATAAAATAAATCATGGAGTAATTACTTTTACAAACCTTATACTGAGTGATGTTGGTACTTTTTTTACTCTTGTAAACTAGTGGTTGATAACTTGACAGCTAAAGGAATAATGAACACTGACAGGTTTCCGGATCACCAACTTCAGATCAAAGCTCTGACAGTAAGTGTGTACAGTATTCATTATTTATATATCTTGTGATTGATGGTATTTACACGTAAATTGTTAAATTATATTAAATCTTGACTACATCAAATCTTATTTGAGTGGATAAGTTGTTAAGCATGTGTGGAAAAAACATTCACTACAAAAAATTGATAACATCAATAAATAACATTTAACCTACAGTAATAGAAACAACAACAGTAATAATCATTATACTAAATAATAATTATTATAATTATAAAAATTATTGTGTAATAGTGTAAATAAAAAATATAATAATATTATGTATTATAATAATAATATTCTAGAAATTTGAAATTAAATAGTACAAGTATTAAATAATGTAAGTATTAATAATGTATTGCTCACAAATCCATCTTCGAAAATTATGGCACACATAGAGCTTAAATTTACCATTTAAATCATAGAAAAACAAAATAGTTGTAACAGAAACTTAGTGTTAATATTATTTATTTTGTAGTCTTGTAACATAAGCATGGTAAAAAAGTAGCTTCCAATTGGAGCATGTATCAACTACTTGACATAGTTTTTTTTAGGTATTTTCTATGTAGAAACTTGATTATTTTAAATTCTGATTGAAACTCATGGTCCATATTATTAGGAATAAGCATACATATAAATACCCCCCTCTGCATTATTTTTCCCCCATAGAGTTAAGCAAAGATCTTATAAACACAAGATAGCGTTCTCCGCAATTTACGCGTAACAAATAGAAGCGTCGGTCAAGGTTCAAAAGTTTCCAATTTAGCAAGAGGGTGCCGTTCATGCGCTATTATACCAAAGAGAAAAAGTAATCAGTTTTGGAAGAGGGCGTCCTATCTGTTGCCATGGATCTGAGATGGTTCCTGTTCTGCTGTTCACAGGATTGATACCGCGGTGTACGGTGGTATCGTCAGAGCGGTCAAGGGCCAAAAGTTTCCAATTTAGCAAGAGGGCGCCATTCATGCCTTATTACAGAATTTGCACGCATAAATCACGGAGAACGCTATCTTGTGTTTATAAGATCTTTGGAGTAAAGGCAGAAATTAGAGAGGGCACTATTTTAGGTCATTTATGTGAACTGATATACATGAATATGCATGCCAGATTTTCTCCTCGAGGAAATAGAGTTCAGTGGTGTATCAAGATGAACGCTACGGAGTAGGCCAAATTCTCTTAAATATACCTTGGTAGTCAAGACTCTGTGAAAATTAATGGACTATAATTGTAATAATATCCTTAAGACTAGAGAAAGTTTATGTACAGCATGGTCTTTGAAAGTATAAAAAAGCACAATAATATTGAATATGATTATTTCAATAGGTCTAAAGTATAGTATATACCTGTAGGCGTAAATATGGGCTATGTTCTCACATGGCAGCTAACAGTTAACAGGATCCGGATCCTGCTAACTGTTAGCTGCTGTGCGTCCATGCGAGAAAATCCCGATCCGGATACCAACAATATGATGATCGAATCACTGGCCAATAAGAAACTGGAAATAGTAAACGCGTACGTGTGATTGGTTGATGATAGAAACGCCCTCAACTTGCTAACCGATAACGCTTGCTAACCGTTAGCGTATCTGGATACCGCTAACGTTTAGCGCTAACCGATCGGGCGTTCTCACGCAGGTGCTAACGGTTAGCACTAACAGTTAGCTCCTGATCCGGATACTAGGGCTCTCGTGAGAACCAGGCTATGATGTGTTGTAGCAATTGTATGCCCCCAGTAGTAAAAAAAAATCAATCAATTAACAGACAGTGAGCGTATTTGCTGTATTTTTTTGCATAATTGGTGGTAACATTTAAGGATTTTTTTATAAAACCGTCTGTCAATCAGTTTACTTTCATCTGATATTAATAAGCTAGTCAATTTTTTTTAATATGAACGTAATATTTGTGAGAAATCAACATTTATAATAATACTTTACGCCAGTATTCTTAAATCGAACTAAGATCTAGAACTTCATTAAGTCCTAGTTGCAACTTAAACTTAAATTTGTATTCATAAACAATGTAGTCAAAGTTCTAACTACGACTAAATCTAGTCCTCGTTTTAGCTTAGCTGAAGACAGCTAGCAAGCAACGACTTTCAAATTAACTAATGAAAAGAGCTCATTTTAATTGCAGATGAAATTTTAGAGATCTGGTAACACGGATGAATATTAAGCTGCAGCCTGCTGTTCAAAAGCAGATTTCCTCATAATAGATAATCATTCGCCTAAGTAATTTGCTATAATAATAACTATATTAGTCGTTGTCATATAATGATAGAGAATTTGAACAGTCTCAGGAAATTTGCTTTCTTTGGAGAACTATTATAGTTGAGCCCAAGGGAGGGCGGCGCGCAACTTTGTTGTTGTTATGGTGAAGCTACGTGACCGCAATGTCAGAAAATTTTGTGCAAATCAATCAACTATCGTATGTGGCTAGCATAACATGTTAATTTCTGCTTTTTGGAAGCTAAACTTGATGTCTCTTTTTTTTAACACACCAAAGATGTATCAGACCTGTGTATACAATCGTTTTTATTCGTTTCACTTTATCGTGAGTTACAAAAAGTACAAAAAGTTTTTAATGGGGTAAATATTTAAAGTTGGCAATTTAGCCTGACCCTAGGCTGAATAAAAAAAACAGGCCTGCAGAGGTATCATTTTAGCCAAGGTTCGCATGATTTAGTCGTAGTGCTAGTAGAAATTCGTTTTAAGAATACGAAATGACTTTGAAGTTTTAGCTCGAAATAAGATTAAAGTTCGTTTTAAGAATACTGAGGTTAGAATTGTCTTAATACCTGTGTCCGAGCATTTCTAAACGTTTATACTGTATAGGCTATATCCTTCAGAATCAGTAGTATAGTACTATAGCAGTTAGTATGTATGCTATGCTTCACTGCTACTCAAATAACCCACCAGATTCAACGCTGCTTTTTATACTTTCAAAGACCATGCTGTACGTAAACAGTAGTATAATTACAACACAATACTGTTAATAATAGTCCATTAACATGTTGACTGCCAGACCTTTTTTAAGGTTCCTTCCCATGTGCCAAAACAAGTTTACATGTACAAACATACTTTTTTGAAATTTTATCTAGCCATATATCATCAAAATGGTGTGTCTAATAAATGGGCCGGAAAATATTGGGGGCGTGTATACTTGTCGATGGCACTGTGATAGAACTTTTTACTGACTACTGACTATGCCAAGTGTGAGTTATCTAGTCCGCTTTTTACATGGATTGGTATACAGTATGTTCAAAGGGCGCCCCCTTATACACACCACTCGAGTGTACTACCGGCAACATAACACAACAAACATACATTACGTCATTTGTACGTTATCGTCTAGGTGTATCTTTCCCCAAACTACTAGCCGTTGAGTCTGTTCTACAATGTATAATAAAGAAGTTATAAATACTGGAATGTTACCCCGATTTTGACGAGTATACTCGTCCCTGGCACCCTCACCAACACCCTGTGGGCGAGTATACTTGTCGCTGGCAGCCAATGTTTTAATTTTCACTGTGTCGACTACACGTCTCGACCGACTACCAAGAAACTCTGGCCTACCCTACTACTGTTACACTGTAGCTTTCATATTGCACAAGCAGCAAACACTACTTTCACCACTCGCGAAGGGAACATGCATATTCATGTTATCAGTTCACCTAAATGACCTTAAGTAGCACCCTCTATAATTTCTGCCTTAACTGTATGGAAAGAAAATAATGCCCCTCCTTTCCCCAATCCATCCATGTTTTTTGCATTGGCAGTTGACATGAGTAACTGTAGAAGTAAAAAATTGTTGACAGATGTGGCATCATATTTCATAGGCTTATGTTTGGGAGACTGTATCTTTAGCTTAATGGTATACTGTACTCTGTATGTTAACTGTGGAAGAGTGTACACTTCGATTGACCCTTCCAAAAAATAATAATTAATTTAATCAAGCAATGTAAATATATTTTGATGTATTTATTTGTACCCACACTATACAATGTTCTTTACAAAATATTCAAATAAACTTTGCTTTCATCAGGACTATGGTGATCTCGACCACCAATATATACTTGTCAGAGGTTTCAAAAAATATGATGACATCGACTCGACAAAAGACAAGCTTACTATCAAGCTTCAGACGGAGAAAATAGGAGGAGGTGATGTAAATGACGTAATGGTTGGTCAAGCTGGAGATATTGCTTTAGTTGAGTTTGATGATAACTCAGGTAAGTTTGTTTGCAGTAACATACAATGAGTGAACCTGTAGCTTGGTGCATAACATGCCTTCCTTGGGTCCTGGGTTAAACTTTGTTTTTGTCCTTGTTCCACACATTCACCTCGTAAAGCCTAAAAGCAGATGATTGGTATATTTCTTGTTTTATTAAAATTTTGAGAAAACTAAAGAATTGCCATTGCACCACCTGTGC